CACAGCCCTCAGCTGGATTCATACTGAACCCTTGTAAAAGGCATATGCTGGTGGAGGGAGGTAGGGTGATTGCTGTAGAGGTTCAACATGTGCAATTATGGTTTCAGACATTGCATGAGTCGTATGCCTATGGGCAACTTTTCGCAGACATGTTCGCCAAAGGCTCTTTCGTTCTCATCTAGGGTGCATATGTCCATCACATATCACGAAAGAAATGCAAAACCCCGTGTTTTTGGCCCCTACATGGGCTAGCCTTGGCAGGCACAGGCCAACATGCAGAAGAACTCCGCTTCCACCAGCACCAGAAAGCTGGGAAGCCTGGAAGTGGTGCATCAATTGAGCTCTTTAATGGGGGCCCTCGCCATCTGCTTATGGAACAGGTCCCTTACAGTCCTTTTCTGGGTACTCTGAGACTCCCAACTCGCATCTGGGGGTATCCCAAAATCATAGATTTTTTGTCCCCAGCTCTCTGTGTCTATGTGGGATTGGGCTACGGTGGATATGGCTGAGTAACAGCCACATCAGTGTGGCAGTATGTTGTGGACTCCATGAGAACTTGCCTCCCTGGTGCCCTCTCAGTGTGTCCAGTTGTGGCAGGAGTACGTTCAAAGGGTGAGCCCTCTCCCTGCTTGGTGAGGAATGAAGGGATGGGTTATAGGGGTATCTATACGTTTTCTGGTGTGGGTTACGTGGTAGGGGTAGTTGTCAGGATCTGTGCTTCAGAATCCCGCAAGCAATAAGTCCTTGGATGACCACACATGGAACGCATCAGTTGGACTGTGATTTCGGCTGGGGAGGTCTTATAATTGAGAGAACCCAGGGATTTCCCAGCACCTGCCTACTAATGGTCCTCAGTTGGGCTCATGCCCGAAGCATCATTCTCTCTCTCACACACACACACCAAAAGTGCATGATGTGGGATGAAGTCAATGAGGGGAACGTGTGGTTTTGAGCTTGCTGCTGGAGAATTCAACCTGCAGTTCCGTGTGCCTCAGAAAGCTCGGCTGAAGTGGCGTTGCATGCATGGCGCAAGTCTGTATGCAAGAACCCCTGGCCCCCCCACTGCCGAAACCAAGAGGCCTAAACCTTCAAACTTTAGTGCCTTGCACCCAAAGTCCTCAGCTGAGTCATAAACTTTCAAACGCCCAAGTCCTCAAGGTCAGATCCTTTTAGCTCTTTGAAGCCCGCTTCTATTTGTTACTTTAGGGCGAGCGGCGTGGCTGAGAATGGCCCGGCGACTCCTTCGCTGGGATTGGGGATCGCCGTCAAGCCCGTCGCATGCATCTCAGGATACGAGTCCTTTGCAGGTAGATAGTAGGTCGTGATGGCCTCTATGGAGCCCTATTCCATTCTATCTACGTTATGAGCATTTTGTAGCAGCTCCTGCTATTATTGGTCGTCGTGGTGGTGGTGGTGGTGGTGGTGGTGGTGGTGGTGGTGGTGGCAGCGGCGGCGGCGGCGGCGGCGGTGGTGGTGGTGGTGGGGTGGTGGTGGTGCCAGTTTTGTTTTTGGGCTACTTCATTCTTACGTTCATGGGAGTGGTAGCGAGTAGCATCTAGGTGCGATTCGTGTGTGCTGGAGACTTCCGGGCGGAGGATAGGATCGGGCTTACGAAGTAGGTCTGGGATGGCGCTTTGATTTTAGTACAGTGTAGCTTGAGAGCGGTCGGTGGGTCGGTGGGTCGGTTGTGGTTGGTTGGTTGGTTGGTTGGTTGGTTGGTTGGTTGGTTGGTTGGATTTAGATCTTGGAGTGTAACAGCTTATGATGCAGTTGGGGCAGTGCACAAGAAAGTGCTCACTGTACTCGCAATGCCGCATCCTGTACCCAAGCTGGACGCATCCCAAACATGCGACGGCCACTGCAAAATGCTAGGCGTGAAATTGCAGCGAATCATCACCCAAATTCTCACACCATGCAATGAACGGTGAACGCATCAGCTTCATAACTCCTAGATCTTGGTCCTCCTGATTTAGGGTTTGGGCTAGTGTTGAGAAGCTCCTGAAGACCGAGGCCTGTCTCACAGATAGGAATGATCCAAGTTATAACCACATTACACCTTACAGCCTCCTGTAGCCTGCAACTACTTCTCATGCTTGCTGTGTAGGGTTTACGGACACCACCCACGTTTCGTAGGGTACCAACCTAGCCAGAGCTTAGTGTCTATAGGGTTTGCCAAATGGATTCCGATAACCTTGACCCCACACTCTCTCATCCCCAGGTTTCTAAACCTCAACCGCTCATCCCCGACCACTTAAATCCAATCATTCCAAAATCTCAGCCTCTAAAGCTCAGGAAAGCCCCAGAGTGTACTAAATGGTTTCGAGTTTCCGGTTACGGTCTTTGCGGGCTTACGGTTCCAGAAAGGAGGTCTTTGTTTCGGAAGACCTTTTCGTAGTCTCCATACTCCTCAGGATCCTGAAGGCCCGCTACTTTCAGAAATCCCTAGCCCCAGCTTTGTACCGAGCCGTGATTCCCACATCCATGGTGTTTTGTATTGATCGATTGATAGCATGCTGTACGGGGCGTGTTTAGGGATGAGTCTTGCGCTGGCTACCGTTGGTATCACATTAGAATGATACTGGGCCCCTGCATCTTGCTTCACGTCCGTCACCCTAGTTTAAGACATTGGCACATGAAGACTGAGGCATTTGTAGGTCTCTCTGGGTTTTGTAAAATGTAAAAGGGTGTGTCCCCTGAACACCAAACTTTTCGTAGTCAGTGAGGACCTAACACGTTCAACCATGATGAATCGATGAAGATTACGCATCCGGGCGAGATCGGAGTCGAGGCCCTGAAGTGCTTGCCGGCCCGATGCAAGTGTCTCCAGATGCCTGGAGGTTTCGACACGACCTGCATGGCAGACGCGTTTGCTGTCTGAGCACTTTCTGATGTGTCACGCCCGACTCGCCATGCCGGAGCTCTTGAAGACGGCAAGTCTGAGAAGAAGAGAGCAGTGCCTCAAGCTTTGCGGCCTATTCTCAGAAAAGTTGCTACTTCGGGCACTCCTTTGTAGCGCACGCAGCGCCTGGCCAAACACGACTCCTCGAGCTTTGTACTCTAAAGCCACGCCTCAATATGCTTGTTGCAAGGCTATTTCCAAAGCCGACACCCCAAACCCTTACAAAATTCCTCAGCTAGGGTTATCTTACATCGGTCCTGTTATTTATGCATCGAATGAGCGTCTACTTGGGGAAATCATGTCTTGGGCTTGGCCACTCCTTAACAAACACATCAAGAAAATCTTGTTGACGACAGCGTCTACATGTAGTTTGGCGGTTTCAGCATGACTTCCTGGTGTCCACAGTAGCGTTGCATCGATTGAGCGTCTACTTGGGGAAACCATGTCTGGGCTTGGCCACTCCTTAACAAACATAATCAGGAAAATCTTGTTGATGAGAGCGTCTACATGCAGTTTGGCGTTTCAGCGTGACATCCTGCTGTCTATACTAGCGTTGCATCGATTGTGCGTCTGCTTGGGGAAACCATGTAATGCTTGGCCACGCCTTAGCAACATCATGAGGAAAATCTTGTTGATGACAGCGTCTACATGCAGTTTGGCGCTCTCCGCGTAACATCTTGGTGTCCACTCGCATTGCATCGGTTGAGCGTCTACTTGGGGAAGCCATGTCTTGGGTTTGGCCACTGCTTCACAACAGAATCATGAAAATCTTGTTGATGACAGCGTCTACATGCAGTGTGGCGGTTTCAGCATGACATCCTGGTGGCCACAGTAGCGTTGCATCGGTTGAGCGTCTGCTTCGGGAAACAGCACGCCCGAAAAGCATTTCCAAGTGCCAAAACCAAAGAAAATACGAAACATCATAAAACCAGAAGCATATGGACAAATCACGTGGCTCCTTCCATCCGCTGGCAATTTGGGTGTTAAGGGTATCGTTCGGGGCATCATTCGGGCATCGCTTTGAGCTTCTTCTGACACCATCTTCTCGCACATACAGGATTTCCCTCGGGCTCCTGTAGCGAAATCTCATAGCCAAATCCGTATTTTGCTGGGTTCCTGTCGCAAGATCACCGTTGTACATATAAGATTTCTCCCGGGCTCCTGTAGCGAAATCCCATAGCAAAATCAGTATTTCCCCGCGCTCCTGTTGCCCCGAGTACAAACAGTATTGCTCGCATGTGTTGATGCAAAACCCCATAGTATGCGACACGTCTGCGCGCTTTTTCTGGCTGTTCCAAACACATGTTTTTTTTGGGGGATTTGCTGATGTAGGGTGGCCAAAATGCGTGCGAAACGTACTGCAGACGTAGCGTCTGCCACATAAGCGGAAGTTTTACACCTTCTGTCCAGCTCTTCAAAACACAGCGTCTCCTGGGGGACTTGCATCCCGTGATGTATCATAATTTCTCAATGATGTATATTTTCCGTTTTGCAGCGTCTACATGAGGAGATGCATATTCTCACCGACCGATGTGTGATAACCTTGGCACTAGTAATTTCTAAACTTTACATCCTGCTTGAAGCCTCATCCCTAAACCTGAAACTTCAGACCCCTACACGCCTTGAAATACCTTGAACCTCCAGCTACCCAATCCCGCCAAAATGTGGTAGTTTCCCTAAATAGGGAAGCCTCACTATAAACCCCAAATACCGCAAAAAACGTACCCTAAATTTTGGTAAACCCCCTAAGCCTTGAACACTATATCAGCCTATATGCCCGTATAAACTGGTGGTCTCCAATTTTTGCAAGGTCAGGCCAAGGTGGGTGTCGTTGGTAGAACCTTCATAGTTGTTCATCATTCTCCTGCGATACAGAGGATTTCGTTCCCCACCAAAGTTACCTGAATATGTTGCCCTCTAGGACTCTAGGACAGATTGCTTGTCAAGGGTGCGAATTGAGACAGGTACTGATGAGACGGTAAAGTCACGTCGAGGGCGGGGTTTCTTAGAATCTCGGCGGTTTTTGGGTGTCCAAACGAGGAGTCCCTGGTTGGAGGCATAGAGGCATACAGCCTGCAATATGAGTTGTCCAATTGTCGAGGTGGACATCATGCGGCCTACGGTCGCTGCCGTTCTCCAAGAGAACGACCAGGCGCCGGCTGTGCAAGTTTGCGTGCATCCTCAGGCCTTCTCCCAAAAACCCAACATGCTTTGCCCTCTTCCTGGGCGGAGGTGATGAAGTCTCTGGATCCACGAAAGGATGTCGTGGTCTCTTTCATGGCCAGGGACCCAAATTCTTGAGAAGCAAGCTTCAAGTTCAGCTTCTGGGTCTGGGGGCTGGATGGGCTTGAGAATTCGGATCGGTTAGGCTTCTAGGCTTTGGGATTTGGGTCCTGAACTTGGCTTTCGTGGAAATTTTTCAGAAAGCTGTGTTTGAAGTGTAGGGCTTGGAAGCTTAGATTTTGACCTCGTCTTTCTTGGGCATTGAGCATTGCCTCCAAGCCTTCAAAGCCCAAACAAAGGCTTGAAACTCCAAACTTTCAACCTCATTAAGCAATGAAAGCTACTGTTCAACTGACAGTTCAGAATACCCACCAAAAATCATTGTTTGGCGTTTTTGGTTTATGGATGGGGGGTTGCAATAACAAACGATTGGGGTAGTGGTACAAGGAGTAGCACAAGTAGTACTAGTAGTACTTTCCGACCTGCCTCTGATAAATCTGAGCTCTAACCAGGTCCAATGTACTGCCAAAAATCATTTCATTTGTAAAATCAAGTGTGTTGAGCTAAGAAGCTTTAATATTGTCACCGGTCTATTGCTGCCATGGACCTTGTTTGTAGGTTTTCCGGCTCTGAACTTGTTGGACAATAGAAGTGGCCTTCCTGATTTTCTGGTCCAGCGAGATGAGTTTATTGTCATTCCCCTTAGATGAACTCCTGCGAGGTTGCAAGTAGTAGGATTGTAGACTGTTCTCAGCTGAGGAGCTCTGCCGAACGCATGTGCCACAGCCCATCGTCGTGCGGGTATTTCATACCCTGTCGGGTCAGGCGAGTCAGCGGTTGAAAGCGCATCCATTGCAGCTTCGAGTGGTCGGCAATTTCATTCGGTGTCTTTGTTTCGATCATTTTCTAGCTTCTAGCGAAGCTATGTCCACAGCAGCCCGGCTCGCAACCTCGCACAACAATGGAATTTGGGGGATGAGGCCAGGAACCTCAGATCTAGGGTAGGCGGTTTCCTACTAAACCTGATGGTCTATAGACCTCAGCATGCCTCGAAAGCGTAGCTGCTGTTTTGATGTTGCCTGTATGGCAGGTTGTCCTAGCAGGAGCTCATTTTTTGGCATCCCTTATTGAAGCAAAGCGTGACAATGAATTTGAAAATGGCTCATGTTCCTAAGAAGACCTTGTTGTCGGTTTCTGTACTATTGCATGCGAGCTCGGATCGTGTACTGGTCGAAATGTCGAGCATCCAACCACAAAAAGTCTGAACGAGAGCATCTCAAAGTCAAGCTTTCAACCATACATCCAAAGCCCAAACAGCCCAAACATGCGAAACCCTAAGTTGTCTTGCAAACCCTAAGCTCCATCGAACCGCAAGAGCTACAACATGCCTTGCTGACTTTTGGAGAGGCCCATCAGCTAACCGAGACGGTGATGAAGTCTCCTGCCGAGTTCTGGAGGGCTCCGATCTCAGTTATAAGGCAAGCGTTAAATGTTCATAGTCACGCGTTGCTTCTCTATGCAGGTTGAAGGGGGTTTAGGGTCTAGGATGCAGCCCCATATAGGCCTTTGATGAGAGATGCACTGATTCTTAACCCAAGCAGCATGTAGTTTAGGTATTGCAAGGTACCTCAATGCTGACGTGCTGGAAGCATTGAAGCCCTTCCTCTGAGAGGTTTCGCCATCCGGGCTTAAAATCGAGGGCCATCCTAGACCCAAGACTCCATTCTCCAAACTCTCCTCTCACAAAGCATTGGAGGTGCAATCTTGGGATCCTTGGCCTATTGAAAATTGCAAGAAATTTTTGGGGATGAGGCATGCTCCTTCCGGTGCAGTTTTGATTCACACCAACAGCAGCCTCAAGTGCTTATAAGACAGTCATCCGCGCAACAAATAAGGCTAGGGGTGATGTTTTGGCAGTGATACTGCAATTGCGTGTGTCAAGACCATTCGGACGCTGGCTTCTTTGAAGCCCTATTATTGACGGTGGCACGATCATCTGCCGCACAGCCGCCACTGGACGTGCAGCAACTGGACGTTGGCCGATCGGCCAGCGCTCATATCTTCTGTCCGAAGGTCCTGCAAGCTTCTGTGGAATGAATGTGTTACCGGCACGGAAAATTTCGGACTATTTGAGAGGGTGTGCTCCTAATCTCCCCTTCGACTGGCATGGCATCTCTAGATTCTAAACGGGCCCTACAAAGGAGTTATGACCTCAACAGGAGGTAATCTAGGGTTCCATTTATTTGTGGCAGTTATGAAATCAAATTAGAGCTTTGCCAAGAAGTTGGACCTGTGCAGTCATGGGTTACATGAAGGCAATCATAGGCTGATCACATCAACTTCCAAGTTCGCTGAGCACCCCCAAGCCTGTGTCTTAGCGTCCAAGCCTGGAAAAACAAACTCAACATCAATCTAGTCCATATCGGAGAGACCCGAAACAGAGCGCTCAGTTAGAGATGCACAACTCTCAGCAACTTTCAGAGGTTTGGCGATTGCTGTGTCCAACCCTGGTGGAGTTTAGTGAGCGAAGCGACTCTGCCACGAATTGGCACGGCTCATCACCGGGGAACATTCTCTCAGGGACTTTGGGTTTGGTCGCGCGGGTCTTTGGTGTCTTGGGCAGGTCGAGGGCTTGTGGGTTCGGCCCAATTTCAATGGTTAGATTTTGCTTGGGGCATTGACCAAGCTGCGGGGCACAGGTGCGGCACGGGAGCAGCCACCTAAGCTGGGTCATAGTTTTTGAAGAGAGAGACCCTCATCTCAAATTGTTTGGGGCACTTACCAGCACGAAGCCCGTGTTTTCAGCGAGCTCATATAGGCCTGTACTCTTGGGCCTGTTTCGCCTGGGTTCAGTTCAGTGCTTATCTTGAACGCAGATGCCCCGCAACCCGATCATCTTGCAAAAACAGACGCTTCGGAAGCAGCCGGGGCTGCTTTGGAGCAAGGACCGGCTCTTCAGCAGAACAGTGAGCTGCTCTTATTCTCCTACAACCACCACACTACCTGCACCATCATTATTGGCGTCGCAACCATTTGTTGGTGGATTTGAATTTGCGACTGTCTCAGGCGGACGTTCTTTTCTAATGCCCATAACGTTGGCCCTACATGCCAACCCTAAACCCCAAAGGCGTTTCAACATCCGCAGCCCTTGCAGCCCAAAATCCTTGTCCACTTGGCAGATCCCATCTTCGAAGCCGTGATCACCTTCTTCAAGCGCCTGGGCCAGCTGATGAGCGAGGCCTGGTTAGGGCTCAGGTTCCATTGAAAAGAAGGGAGGCAGAAGGGATGCAGTCGCAGAGAAATATCCAGGATGCCCGGTGCAGCACGTCAACCTGGCGTAAGAGCCTTGGTAGACCTTGCATTTTTGTTTTTCTTGTTGTTGCGTTGTTGTTGACGATGATGATGTTGTTGTTGTTGTGTTGTTGTGACATGAGACGGCACGATCTCCGCTGGCACCCACATTTCTTTTGCAGCCAGGCTGGCGCCTGCTTTCCATTCTGTATCGTATCCGCCGGATTGGTCCTCGAACTAGGCTAGCTTCAAGCTGCGAGAAACTGTGTAATTGCGAGGCAAGCAAATACTCCCAAGCCAGGCCAGTCAGCACTCTGAACCACCCTCGAGGTCCCCACCATGTTCTTCAACCACAAGCGCCGTGAACTTTACAAAATGTCACTTCAAACACTTAATCCATGTAGCCTTCAAGCTTGAACGGCAAACCCCTGAACTGTCCCTTACTCACTGCAGCAAGAGCTTGAGCAGTAGACTTCGAAATCACCTGCGAGAGGCGGATGCCACCTTGACGCAGCAACTGCTGGCTTGGGATCCGAGAGGCGTTTAAGGTTTGGGTGCGTACTTACCCCCCTGCCAAAATAACCTGGTTCCAACCATTAGACCGTTTGGGATGAAGGGTTTTGGCCATTTAAAGCTGAGGATCTAGTAAGGTTTCAAGCATCGTCTAGGGTTCAAGGCTTAGGGTCGGAGGCAATTCTGAGTCACCACGTTTGCCGTTAATAGATTGAGATTCAGGATTGTGGTCGTTAAAAGGGTTCTGGGCCTCCTGAGAAGTTTAGTCATCAGGTTCATTATTTTTCTTTTAATGCGCCTACCCAGTCTTGGAGAAATCTACGTTGCACCTTTTTGATACCTGTTGATCACATAACTTCCGGAGCTGGCCAGCAGGCCTCGGCAAACTTTGGAGTAAGTGTGGCTCTTTCCAAGACCTTTGTTGCGGAGCCTCAACCCTCAACCGTGAGCAACTGGGCAGGTACGACGTTCTGGATTCGGGATTTGTCAAGTGGCAATACCCAGAATTTGAGCTGTTAAGAATAATAAACAAATCCTTACCCCACACGAGGAGAAAGCCTTAAGTAAGTCTGACAGACCCTCCAGACTCTAGCCCAAACCTCTTGCGCCCTACTGCTTCATTCAAAACCTTGAAACCTCCCTAAACCAAAGATCCTAAAACCTAAACCTTGGAGTGCTCATGCTCTAAACCATCCATCCCAGTTCTCCAAAACTCAGGTCGACGGCATCCTGCCCAGTTTGGCCCCGTTGTTAGTGGACACCGCTGGCAAGCGTGAACCACTATGTGAAGTTGCCTGGGTCCCAGGTGGATACAGTTTCAAGTCTGAGGTTGACAGCTGCTTACGGTCAAGAGGCTTGGGGTTAGGGTTCAGTGGATGCATTTAATGCTTAAGGATTTCGGATTTGTTTTTGGGATGCCGATTCAGAATCTGGGGGTTGTATTAGGACTTGTGGTGCTTTTGGGGAAGTCCTTTCCAGCCGAGTACGGGGTCTACAAATGAAGGCTTACAAGTTGAGACGCAGTGGGACCAGGGTGAATTCATGAATTGTCCGCACGTAGTACATTTTGGGATTTACGAAGCACTTAGCTCGGCTAGGCTCGGGAATCGGCGCTCGGGGGTTCAGTGGCAAGGAAACAGCCAAATATTTGATAGACCTTAAATCCAGAGACATGTGTGCAGCAGAGGTTTACGCCTACACCCAGCCCCAGGCTCTGTCTGCTTCTGCGTTTCCTGGCAGCTGGGGTGGACTAACAGAGAAAAAAGGAAGAATGTTGTCAGCAATCCGCCTGGGAGGCTCAAGGTCTTGAAGCTATGGGTTTAGGGGGTGTAGCAGCTGCCCTGAGGATTAAATGTTTGGGGTGTTGAGTCATGGATGTGGGTGTCTGGCGGTATGTGTCCAAACAAGAGTCATCTGTCGTACAACCGTCTCCGAACCCTGTCAGCCGATCATGTTGCCAAAAGATTGTATTAGGAAATGCAGTGAAACGTAGAACCAAAGTGCTTCGTCTACACCTTTTGCGGACACTGAGAAGATCAGACAGGTGCATCAGTGCTTTGTTGTCTGGAGTTACACAAGTCTCCTCAATTTAGGGCTTTCCGACTGAGGGGTACTTTAGAACTCGAGCAAGCTTGAGATGCCAACTATGCAACTATACGATTGCGATGGCCTAGTTGCTAGTGGAGGTTTGTGTCCTTTCATCCCAATCACCACTGAATCGTTTCATGGTATCGACGTTCATGCAAAACTTTCAGCTCTTTGTGAGGGTATCTCGCGACCACACAAAGGCACATGTCGAGAGGCTCCCTCTTGCTCGCCAAATGCCGTTCTTGGGGGCATACCATGTACTCTCGACCTAGCCCAAACCCACAACTATGTGTGAGCAGGTGCTGGCAAGGCTGAATGTCCTGCGCGGCTTGAAAGAGGGAATGTCAAGCATGCCAGCAGGGCGCCCAGGTTTTTGTTTGGTGGCTCATGGCTATTCATCGAATCACGGGGGTTATCTGAATGGTATGTATGTGAGCGTTCATGAGCACAGCATTAATGATAGGCTAGGATAGCCACAGCCAGACGCAGGACTCTGAGTCAGAGTTTGCGGCCTCTTTTTGGAACATATTTTGGTTCTTTCCACAAGCAAGCATTGCATCATCTACATACTCACAGAGCTGGGTATTGAACCCCCGAAGCAACACCGAATTTAAAGACATCTCCCAGCCCTTAGAAAGCTCCGCTAATACTTAATGACTAGCAGAAGACTAGCTAGGAGGGTGGAGATCAGCACTTTAGGGCATGCCCTGTGCTACATAGTGCCAACGACCCTTTCCTTTCCCACGCCCCAGAATTTTCTCCTTCAACCATAATGTTGCAACCCCGTAGCTTCAAAAGAGCACGCGAGGCCTACATCTGCTGCCTGTCTTATTTCTTGCCCATGGAGCTTGAGTTGGGCCGGGTGCTCAGAGTTCTGAGGTCTTGTGCCTTCAGTGGTCCATAGTTTGTGGATTTTGGGGCGTCGGGTAGTATTGGATTAAGGATCAGGGCTTTCCAGCTTGAGAGATTGACTTTTTGGTAGGGCCAGGGTCAAGGCACACAATTTGGGGTTCCGGCTTTTGAGGGTTTGGACTTTCTCTTTGGTTGAAGACTTGCAGGATTTTGTCGTGTTCAATATTGGGCTTGCTTGGGTTCCTACAAGCAAGGGGCCATGTGAGTTGAGGGAGTGCGTGGAGGATATGATTCAGAGAAGCCTGAAGCTAGAACCAACGTAAAATACAAGAAAATGCATTGCATTCGGAGGTTGGACTTGCCAGCTGCCTGCCGCAAGTAAGACAGGCTTTCCTGTTTCCGGGATCCGCAACTTCTTTGCGTTCCAGGAGGGCTGCACTGATGTGTAGGGTCTCTGGCTCAGGTATGCCGAAACGGGCGGAGTTTGAGAGAAGATCTATCTAGTGTGGAATGCCTACCAGGGGGGGCAAGGAACATGTATTTATGGGAGTTATTCAAGAACATTATCCCCCTTGTTCTCCATCTGTAATGCTAGCATACTTCATCCCCACACCCTGGTCTGATAGTTTCAGCGCATGCCATGTACAGTATCACCAAGGCAGCATCAGCTGGAGATGTATGTATGTATGTATGTATGTATGTATGTATGTATGTATGTGTGTGTTTGGGATTTTGATTAGGAGCTGCCAGGGAGGGACAGACCTTCGATAGTGTCGCTAAGTCAGATGGATGGATTTTGCATCATCTGCTTGTGTTTCCATCATATACGTGCCATATATACTTCTGTTTCCCAATGCTAGCGTTCTATCCCTCAACCCGAAACCAGTACTTCTTTACTTAGACGGAGTTTTGGATACGAAGCTTTCCACTTTTCACTTGATGTTGGAATTATGTGAGCTGGCATGTGCTCTCAATTGCTTGCTGGGTGAAGGCAGCTCCCTTCTGGGGTACTGCAGTAGATATGTAGCAGGTTCCAAAACAGGGCACGTGTTGGAGGCACACACTTTCAAGCCTCCAGTTTGGATTCCAGGAGCATATCGGGAAGTAAGTGAGTTCTCGAAATCTAAGCCTGCTAGCTTTGATTTAGATCCGAGGCTTTAGGCCGAGCCGCAACTCAGGTGCTTCAGTGCACGTGTTCCCACATCAAGTTTCTCATACTTTGGAGAAGCCCTTCTCTAAACCGTACAGATCCTGACAGAACTTCTGGAGTCCCTGCCCAGTTCCAGTTATTACTTCGCATGCCTGCGACATGACAGTGTCCATCACACTTGTACAGAATGCTTGCATGAATACATACACTGATAAATGCCCGTGAACCTTCAAGTAGACTGTGCAGTGCAAGGCCTGGATGACGAGCATCTGCTGCGACACTACCAGTGAGCCATTTGATCACCGAAGGAGAGTTTTTAGCGGGGGTCTTGTAGGCTAGATCTGGCTTAACAAAGCATCGTTCAGGTTTGCTGGAATTGAAGCCTTTTAAAGGCTTGGGAGTTTGGGGTTGGGGACTCTAGGTTTGGGGATCGAGGAAAAGCCTCCGGATAAGCCCATAACCTCAACCCCGAAGCAGGCCTTTCACAGACCAGGTAGGCAAGCACTAAAGCTACAACTACCATTAAGCTGTTGTTCCATGTAGGTTTTCACTATGGATAACATTTGTTTCGCAATATACGTATGCCTTGCGGGTTTGCTACATCCCCAGCAAATCCTCATGGACCGCGACAACTGTCAAAGGGAACCTCTTGTCCTGTTTCCTGCTGTACAAGCCTTGAACTCTAAGTCCCTAATGCCCTACATTCCCAACCGACCTTGTCTGCAGGTACTACGCCCTTGTAGCGCTGCAGAGCCAAGAGCCGAGTGTACGCGTGGCGGGTCTGACGATGCTCAGCGCCGCCGGGGGCCCCAGCGGTGGATTGAAGATTTGGGCAAAGTGGTAACTGCAAAGTGTTTGTAGAATCCCTTGGTAGCCCCTAAATGTCCTTCGGGTTCTTTCTGTACGCCTCTATTTTGAAACTCACGTTTGCATCGTCCTACACTCTGAATCTGAACCTTCACCCTAATCTCTAAACCATAAACTCGGACGTTAATTTCGAACCGTGCATTCGAAATCCCTCAGCGCCTAAGGAACCCGTGTTGCGGTAAATGCCTAAGCCCCCGAGCCGCCCCTGTTTTGGGGACTGCCTTGTTTTGCTTGGAGGTGTCACTTCAATCAACGCACTTCGCGACGAATGTTGGGGAGCCAAGGAAAATCCAGAGCTGGGAAAGGGCTCACTGCTTATGCATCAGGATTTAGGGTTCATTGTAGGTCTTGGGACGGTTGAAAGCTTTGAGAACGCATCTTGAAGCATTTGTGCTGGGCGAGCTTGGTGTTTCCCATGGCATGGTCAGAAAAAGAGGATACCTGGCAACAGCTCCTTGAAGTTTGAACCCTTTTAATGTTTCCTTTGCTTGCCTTTTTGTCCATATAGCGTCCTAACACCACACCCTCACATGTAACTCTCCAGGGCCTAGGGAGCCTGGCATACAGAAATCTCCACATCCAAACCCTGAATCCCGAGATCCTAAGTTGCACTGAAACTTTGAACAAAACACTCAAGCCCAGGTGCTGCAGGAGGTGCACAATTTCGCAAGCCTGGGCCGGGACGAGTGGTGGGAGGCTGCTGAGGGTCCATCATTTGGGCTTTCAGGTATGCGATTTCAGGATGGTTTGCGTCTACAGCTCCATGTGTTGTTGAAAGATTTGTTGGTGCAACGAAGGGGGCGTGCCCACAAGTATTGCCTAAGTCATCACGCTTATGTGCCCGAGAAACATGACAAGCCTGACCTTCGACCTTTTTGAATGTCGTCGCCACAAAACTTATTCTGATTGGTCTACCTTGTGTAATGACGACCCTTGTGCACTGCATTTGCGCTCGAATGCTCTCCCTGTGCCGTTCAAAGTCTAAACCGTCCACATCCCCAAGCCCTAAATCCTTAAATGTGAAATCTGTGCTGGACCTCCTTTCCGAAGGTTCAGGGGCAGTTCCTGCTCCTTGCTGGGCGCCTGCTGGAACACACAGCCAGTCCGGAGCCTAATGTTTTCGGGTTTCAGGAATTAAACTTGGAGGTTCAGGCGGCGTCTATAACCATCCGTAAATCAGTGCAGGCAATTCTCAGATTTTGGCTTTTGTGATGGTCTAGCTGAGGACAATTGTGCTCAGAACCCGTAGCTGTAGGTCAAGTTAAGATGCATCTTCTGAGTTGTAATCCCCCATTGCAAGTATGTCGAAGACCCCCCCCCCACCTTTAACATTTAACATCTTACACCTTGCAGCAACTTCCCAAATACTCCATTTATTGTTTGGAAGATGACTTGGAATCTTGTACAGAATGAGATGGTGAGATTACTTTAGCTTATTCTGAGGCAAGCATTGACCTTGTCAACAGCTACAAAAGCGCCCAACCTTGATTTCAGGCTCTCCATCACTCCATAAAGTAGGCTTTTACTTCCTGAGCTTTGAAGTCCCTTCGACCTAAACGTGGCCTACCGGCCCTACCGAGTGCCTAGACTGTAAGTCCACACAATGCTTCAAGCTCTGAAAAGCCCAGAACCCCGAGGCCCTCCAAAACAAACACTAACAGCCTCCATTCTGAAGCCTTGCTCAGCCAAGGCCTCAGCGAAGCGGGCAAGGCAGTGAGGGGTGGAGCTGGGCTGCTGCAAGTGACTGTGAGTGTTTAGAGTTATTGGTTTGGGTGTAGGGTTTCGGGGTTTAGGGTGTCGGGGTTTGGAGTTTCCGGCTTGAGGTCTGAGCGTGCGGATGAAGGCATACTTAGCAGCTGGGGCTTTGAAGAACCACTGGCCGGGGTGATCTTCTGATATGCTGCAAGCTGCAAACCTCTCAGCGAAAGCCATTTTCATCTCCAGAAACACCTCCGACCTCCTGAAGGAGCCCCTAAGGCTGCCGAGTGTTTTCAAGTCTTGCTTTCAGACCCAACCCCAAAGCCCAACTCAAAGTCGCATAGGGTTGCCCTAAAGGCGGGCCACGAAGCGGCCACCGAACAGTTGATTGCGGTTGCCGCCTCGGAGTTCAGACTCTGAAAGTAGGAGGAAGTCTTAGGCCCCTACTTGCCTCTCCATGCAGGGTTTCGCGTAGTCAGACATGGAGAGCATTCTGGGTCCAGCATCAGCAGTATGATGCCACGAATGGAAAGGTGCTGTTATGGTTTTTGGGATGGAGGTTTAGCCGTATGGGTTACAAGCGATGTTGATGGCTGTTGTTTCGTGATCACATCAGTGATCCAAGTTTGGGCCGTGGTGTAGGTTGACTTCAGACACCTGGTTCAATTTCAACTTTCGCAGTTTGATGTGCTTTGAAGTTAAGAGCCGAGCACCCAGATGTCTGCATTTGCAAAGTTCTCTGCTCCTGATAGTTTCCTCTCGGTCGTTAAGATGTTAACCAGTTTCTTTCCAGAATGCCGCTGTCGTTGTAATCTCTCACCATTGCCGTGCTCATAATAAGTTAGGCTGGTAAAGAGCACCAGTCACTCCTTGCTTATCCTGTGTTGTAGTGTTCTCATAGCTACGTGATCTAAAGTGGTTATCACAGCTGCAAGAAGAAGATTATGGACCAAGGTTTTATGACAGCAAGTAAGTGTAGCTGACAGTAGTTCATGTGATTGATCTTCCAGGCCGAAATGAGCAGCGCAACTGTTGTAGCCATCGACCCTGACTTTCGTGGAGTCCGTCTGCAATTTCAGATTCTTTTCCCAAGATCATGTAAATCGAAATCGTAGACCGCCGAACCGCAAAGCCCTGGCTGGGAAGAACAAAGGTCCGAATGACCAGGGAGCAACCTATTGACTCGGCCAACTTCCAGTAGTTTGTAGTTTGGCTGTGCATGAGTACTTGCGCAAATGCGGAGGGTTCGAAGCAGGACACACATGATTTTCATTACTTTCAATCTACCTATGGCCATGCTGACACTTGCCATGAAGCCTCACAGCAGTAGCGAAGCCTCGACGATCCCCCTTGCACGTACCTTGCCCTAGATCCTCTACAGTCCTGGGATATGCGACGCAGGTTGCACAACACCTTCTGTCGAGTAAAGGCGGGTGGGGGTGTGGGTTGAGATGGAAGCACTGCTAATGGAGTATCTCTGTCACTGTGGGCTGCTGGAACCCCCACTTTCAACAGCTTAATTGTCCACCCTTGCCCTTGCTTGCACTTTGGGGCGGATGGGTGGGGGTTCTTGGTTGCACCCCCGCTGGGCCGCTCATCGCTGCCTGTGAGTTTCCAAAGTAGCGAATACCCTTTCATGCGGTATTTACATGTAGGAATGTAGGACTAAGCAAAACTAGTTAAAGATTTCTATTACTGGCAGTAATGGTTTATCCAAAATCAAGGTCCGATTCTGTAGTCCATCTGTATTCAGGATATTCTCGTACCGTCGCCACACGCAGACCCCAGCTTCTTTTTGGCAGTGCATGTCATCGCAGGCTATGCATGCGACTAGTGATTGATGATGACTTCCATGCTCAAGTGCCCTTCTTCAGCTGCCCTCCTTCTGTCTGGTATGCTTCAGGCTTGGAAGCTATTGTGAGAAGAACTGGCTGCCGTCAGAGTGATGCAGCTAGGAGCTGTGAGTGGCTTGAAGCTGAGTTTGCGCAGGCTGTACGGCTATCCTCTCTGTGCGCGCGTGCGCTTTGTTTCGGAGTTGCTCTCTGGCCGAGTGTTTCTGCATACTGGTGATCGATTGGAATATTTCGCCAGGCTGAACTCACACGTTGACATACACCTTCTGTTGCTGTCTCTGTCAAAAGAAGTGCAGCAGAATCGCCGGCTAGTGCTGACAAGAACGGCAAGATGCTGAATAGAACCCTGCTCTGATCATTACTGCTCGGGGCCGACCACGAGGAGATAGCGAAGGAACAGACCTCATGGAGGCAGCAGAAGATGGATATGTGTAAGTGGGACAAAGGTGAAGGACCTCAAAAACCACGGCCACTTGTATGGCTTCGCAAACAAGGCAATCTGACTGGCTTTAAAACCGTAGGGCTTGCTACTGTGGTGTCAGGCGCGCGTGGGTTCATGGGGCTCAAGCAGGTCGAAGCTGTCCGTTTACATGAACGCAGTTACTGTAAGGGGGAATGATCCCACCCATCCGCCCAACATTACATGAACGAGCGGGGCGACTTCGTGAGCGGCAGGCTTCCACTGAGCACCACCTTCCGATCCTACAGCGGCCATTTAAGGCAGACATTGTGGAAGCTCTGGTGTCCGTTTGCACGAGCTTTTTTTCGATTGGGGTGCTCCCTCTGTCCAAACGGTGCAGGGGCACCAGCTCCGGACCTCAAAAAGATAGTTTTGGACGCTGGTGCCAGCAAGGACTTGGTTTTGGATACTGGTGCCAGCAAGGACTTGGACTCCGTCGTGGCAAGAGACGAAGGGGACTTACCAGAGGTGGGTTTCATGGGTATGCATGATTCTGAAGATGTGGGTTTCGACTTCGCGTACAGGGTCAAGGTTTTCAACTGGACGTTGGCAAGGTGCAGCTGGTGGCTGGTGCAGGCTTTCGGGGCCGGTGAGCTCCTGTCTATTCACATACAACAATGTGCTGATGTTTTTTGCTTCGGCAACACGTGGGTTGTGCTTACTTACCAAAGCAAAACAGCTTTCATACTTACAACAGAAAGTGGCAAAGCAGTTTTTGCAGCTACTGCTGGCCACTTTGCAGTTGTTCGTGGAGCTGCCGATATGGATATAATGTTTCGGCTTCCTGGCCCAGCGGAACAGCTTTGATGCAGGCGATTAGTTGTCGCCACCTTCAGCTGGTTCAGTTGCTGTTGCAACTTCGCGCTCCGGCGTCCCATGGTGCTGATGATAACGCTGCTTCAGTAGCACATGTAGTTGTACTCTTCCCCCGCTTAGGGCGAACACCGTGTGTGCAAAAAATTGACAGCAGACTCGCAGTGCACAGGCGGCCAGTTGCACTACAAACGTTGCTTTACGCAGTTGATCATTCTGATCATTTTGTGAGGCCTTGTCCGAACATTGCTAGTCCGTTGGGTCTGGCATTCTTATTGCACTCATCTCCGAATACTTGTGCCTTTGGTACTGCTTGCCATGGGTAGACCACGAGACGCTTTGCCATGCAGAGGAGTTGCAAAAACCAGCGACGGAATCTTGGGGCTTTGGCGAAAACTGCCCAAACCACGAGCTCAATCAATACCACTATGCCAGTATACTCTGCCTAGCACAGGAAAGTTATCATTATTGAGGTCCTTTGCAGAGAAGTAGGTGCAACAATACAAACACGTGTTGCACGTTCAGGAAGAGGCCAGTATGCTTTAGCTTGAGGGCATATTCATGTTCACAATTACTCACTTGGCAGGGCAAGGCAAAAGCCTCGGCCAAGCCTGAGCCGGTAAATCCTAGGCCCTAGATCGAAGTTGAGTGTGGAGCTGCAATGAAGCTTCCCTGTTGCGTGGATCTTCCCTACGCAAGACATTCCTCAAGCCAGAAATGCATGAAACTCCAAAGCTCTTCACCCGAACCTCCTTGGCCCTTCACCCTTGAGTATAGACCCCTTGTTAACAGATATTCCTTCGACAAATAGGCTTTTTGTTTAGAACCTTGGGCGGAAGAAGTCGCTAAAAGCCATTTGTCGATAACGGATTTGCTTGAATTTCGGAGCCCGAATACCAGTGCTTCGCATTGAGAGCCCACTTACTAAATTCCTCCCCACTCTGCATACCAACCCATTTCTTTTCCATTCCGAGCTTTGGTAAGGCTCCTTCGAGCCGAAGGGAGCATCCTGAAGATGGCCCTTGCACAACCCAGAAGAGGTAATTATGTGATCTCTTTGCAACCTCTCTTCTCCAACTTTCTCAGTCCAAAGTGGAGCCTTTAACTCATAATCCCGAACGGGCAGCAAAAAACACGGAACACAAGCCCTTTTCTTCAGCAACCATGTTTCCCTCAGTATATACATAGCCGCATACTTATAGCCCATACTTACCCCAAAATGGGGGCCTGCTTCCGAAACCATATGACAAGGCTCGTCGAAGATGGTTCTGCAGATCGGACTCAGCGCCCTCGCCAAAGTGCTCAGGTTCATCTCTAGAACCGGAGAGTTGGGGTGTAGAGTTTTTATTGTGGGAGGGAGGCTTTGGGTTCTGGGTGCGCGGTTGACGGGGTTTAGGGTTCGGGGGTGTAGTTTCATGTGGTGATCTAGTTTGAAGGAACGGGTCATTGGGATAATTACGGTATGGGGATCACGTGGATTGTACCTATCGGTTCATTCCTGGCTTTTACCAGCAAGAGGCATGTCTGGCGTTCAGTGAATTCAGAGTGACGTTCGGGACGTACAGGTTACAGAGGGCGTGGTGTGGGCTTCGAAAATAAAAGTCCAGGCGTATATCGTTCAGCAGCATCTCAGGGGGCTCTTGTTCGAGGTCCGGGGCCGGCTTTGTGGGGGCTCTCGGGTTCAGGGTGCATTGTTTCTGTTGAGTGTTTTTTGTGCGGACCGAATTACGGTAGTAGATGGCTGATTAATGGATTTCCGGGTTATGCATGTTTTGCTGAGCAGCATTCGGATTAAGGCAACGTGGACCCTGAGCATTTCAACGATTCCTGGCCTGCTGGCTAGATCCCTGACCGTCAAAGCAGGGTCTCGGAAGTATAGCTTCGGGCTTGCTAGCTCAGTCTTGGGAAAGATGTCATGAGAAAACGACATGTCATGATCTGAAACCCAGCATTGAAATTGGCATCCTCAAGCCGGATCCAAGAACAACCCGTTTCGTGACAGAATTGGTGCATTCAGAAGGCGTTCTTCACGGTCATTGGGTTTAGGCAGTTTTCTATCACCGGTGCAGAATCTCCAAATGCTTAGGCCCTGAGCCTTAGGGTATTACATGTGAGCCCAACCATTGTGATAGGTCTTGTTATTGTTACTATGAAGGACAGTTCTGTCACTTCTTTCATTTAGGGGTATTGTCTACGTGTTGTTAGACTGTATCTTCCGCACCTTTCTGTGGGCATTAAAGCTCCGTGGGTATGGCTCCGCAGTGTAATTTGGGCCGCTGAGATAGCAGAAGCTTAGGGAGCAGTTGTTCAAGGCCTGAGGCTTGCAGCTTCAGAAGTTTGGGTTTAGGGTTTACGAGTCTCGGCCATAGACTCTGGATTTGCTGTAAGCATATCCATACTATCACAACATAGGGAACCCCTGCCTTGTGGAGCTGATATAGGTTGGAACAAGCTTGATATGGCTAAGGTCATAATTTCAGTTTGGAAGGGATGTTTTCCAAAAATATTTGCGTTGAGCAACTCGAAGCCAGGCTTCGCATGGTTTGTTTCCGCAGGCCGTACCCTTCGCTGCTGCCTGCGTATGTCTCGGCAGTGCTCCCAGCTTACGTGAAGCAGCCTTTACACAACTCTGATACATCACACTCCCCTAGGCTGACTCTGAGATGTGGTGGAGGTTGATGTTGTGTCAGGTCGCGACTACATCGCCCACTTGGTTCAGGGATCCATGGAATGCAAGAGTCTGCAATTTACAGCCTTCGGCTACCCAGACCTTGATCTGTGTATCATGGGTACCATGTGCATTCATTTTCTGCGAACTCTGCCTTATCTCCTATGCATGTCGTGTAGATACAGGTTGGTTTCCTCACGTAAGCTTCAGGTGGCAGCCAGGGTTGAGGGAAACCCTGTAGAGCACCAGGAAGCTGAGTCCCAAAAGCCTCCAAGCCCCAAGCCCTAGAACAAGTTAATCTATCGCGCTGGACTTGTAGTAGTACAGCCTTTTTAAGGTGAGTTTAAAGGTATTTGTGTTTATGCCTGTTTTTGTATTGGGTTCGTTGGTCCAGGGTAAGAATTTGATGATAGCCAGAACAGCATTTACTTCCTTCCCCACTAACCAGGTCCTGCTCAAGCATCCAGCAAACTTCCGGTCACGGCTATTGGAGCGACATTCGCAGGCCTCGCGTGGGGTTTCTTGAACGGGGTTAGGGTATGTAGAGTTTAGGGTTATAGGTTTGAGGCTCGGGCGCAGCTACAGGTTTGCATGACAATAGGACTCCATAGGAGGCTTTTTGACTTACTAGTGAGAGTCACTTGGGATCGGATCGTTGTGTCCAATTTTGTTTGGCAGATGATTGAGTAATTTGCTCTTGCGAATTTCAGTTCGTTTTGATATCAGGTCTTTCTTAAACATAGCTTTTCATTTTCCATAACTGGACCGGGTAGCTTCGGAAACAATTTCGAAACACGGTGACTGCCCGCAAGCAGAGACGCTTGGACCCCACATCCCTGGGAATCCTTACACCCTATCCCACTTGCTTCAGAGAATTTGATTGCTGCAAGGTTTTGTTGATCAAGCGAGGCCAATGAGTAGTGAGGCAACGCGGCAGGGTCAAAGGGACATTACAAGCAGGCTTCAACAACAGACCATCTTCTGGGACACTTTGAACAGGGTTCTATGAACTGCAAGGCTTCGCAGCGGGTGAATCAGAAACAATGAAACAGGGAAGACAAGCGCCCACGGCTATGGCCCACTTACCCCAACATTCAATCTGCTCTGATTGCAGCGTGTCACAAGGTCTTGTGTACCGAGGTTTTCCCAGAAAATATTCTATCAGTATCTAGGTTTGCTTTGGTCTCTTCAGTGAGACGTTGTGTACATGTAATGTAGGGCTGGGGGTTCTTTGGACCTTGCAGGTCTGTGATGCGTTCAAGACAGTACGACCGTTATTGGGGATACAAGCCGACTTTGTCTCAGAGGGCCTACATTCCAACTCCGAAGCCCCTACCCCTAAACTCGCAATGCAAACGCTCCCCAAAGGCCATGTACGGAACTGCTCCCTCGCGACGGAAGCGCTACGTCATGGGGACTTCTTGCCGCGTGTATGAGGCTTTCATGGCTCCGGCTTCGGCTTGGTGGTTTGGGATGTGGGTTGAGGATTTATTGTTTCGGATCTCAGGGTTGTACCCCAAATTGGGGGTTGCACCCTTGAATTATTAGATCCTTTGAGGAATTGGCCCATACAAGGCTCATATTGGGGTCATGTCAGGGAACTTTTTAATTCAGGGTAGGACTTCAGGGGTACAACCCTTGAACCCTCAAGTTTTGTGTGGGAGCAATGCCTTGTAGGCATGACATTTCACAAGTTGTCTGATGTCATATGACGCTCAAAATCTTGTTCCTTCTCGCAATCTCGTGCATGATGGCTGGAGGACCTACGAACGTGGTACTTAGGGGGTGTCGTAGTCACAACATTCCCCTCAAAATTTGGTTGCTTTCCTTCGGCGGTTGCTGCAAGGGGTATCCCACAAATCTTGCAATACTACAGAAACTTGCCACCTTTCTGTGGGCTTCTGCAGGAGTGCTGCATCTCCGAACACTGGCCTGCGGTTGAAGTGGCAAGGACCGGCGTTGCCAGTTCAAGGAACTGGGGTGCATTATTCCTGGCCTGGGCCCGGGGATTAGGGATTGCGTGCGCGTTTAGGATGTATAGTTTATGGATTCAGGCTTCGCGATGGCCATCGCTCTTGGTGTTGCTGGTTTAAGTACATCAAGGGTGGGCACGGGCAACCTTATAGTCCTTGCATATCCTTTCGATTACTTTCCAGTACATTTCATGTCATTTCACACTTGGGAAGTCGATTGCCTGGCGAACATGGAGAGATCTCAGGCATGTGAGCTTATGTGGGCTTTGGGAGCTTCCCGCATCAATCGTGAAGTGTTTTTTGTGCAGGTCTCCCCAGCATCTCCCTAAGAATCGCCTTCTGGCATTCCATCGCACCTTTTTCCAAGAGGCCTAAAGTTGAACTCCTACACCCTAAATCCGATGCCCAGTGCTGCAGCAGGACCCTGGCCGAGCAGTGCGCGGCAGAGAGCCTGCCCCATTTTGAGCCGGAACATCTGGAGGTGCGCCAGTATGGGTATTCATATTCGTAGTACTAGAGTGCTGTTAAACTTGAGGCAGAAGCGTTGGTCATGGTGGTAGTGGTGGTGGAAACGGCGTCGGTGGTGTTTTGAGCGAATTGTTGCTGTTCTTGTTTTTTGCTTTGCAGCATGCTCGACATTTCCTATCAGCTATGAGACGGTTCAGGGTACTGAGGCAGAAAGGGCTTAAGGGTTAAGATGATCTTTGTGCCTCATTTAGGAAAAGGGTTATGGTGGTTTTCGTCCAGCAGGAGCCCCGGTGGTAGCAATGCGAATACTAGTTGGTAGGTGTAGCCGTCCATTTGTTCTTGGCAGCATTCCTTCGCCAATTGCAGTATATTGTACCCGATAGGCATTTGGTACCCAGTAGGTTGAGCCCGCACTTTATCGCAGGTCTCTACACCCGAGCCTCGTGAATCCCAAATCCCCACAGTTCCTAGACTCATATTCTCGTGGCACATCCCTTGACAGTGTACAACGCACTTCCTAGACCATGGCCATGAAGCCGAAGAGGCCATCCTAAGTTCTGGGAATCAAGCCCTAGCCACTGCACACTCGTCCTTAAACCTAATGAATGCAGTAGAGCGTTGAGTCCAATGACCCAGACAGTGCACCTGTGAGGTTCTGACTTCATGCCTGCCGCCGCCGGAGGTCGACATCGACAACGATTGGCTCGCGGTCTTTGAGAAGGCACCTGCTGGGGGCAGTGGGGTTAAGCTCTTCGCCGGCAAAGGGTTAGGGGTTGGTTATGGAATAGGGCTACGGCTGCAAAAAACACAATGAGTTCACTATGACTAAAGTCCTTGTACTTCTCATACACCCTTACTCGCTCTCAGCCACTCTCCAAATTTTTCCCAGCCCTATAGACACGACCTAGATCCCCAAACCCTCATCCCCAGACTGATTCTCCAGGGGCTTAATCTGGAGCTCTAACAGTGAGATCCATAGCCTCGAAGCCTGCATCCTTGAAGACTACACCCGACGCCCGGGCCCCTGACCTTAGCCCCAGCAATCGAATTCTTAAAGCTCTAGGATTCTTAGGAGCAGCTACTGTGACGATGATGGTATGACCACTTACACTCATGTCAGGTTGAGGCTTCAGTTTCGAGAATTGCGTTCAGAGATTGTCTTGTTTGTACATTTTTTGTCGTCCCGGGTGACTTGCTCAGTGGGGTCCGCAGAAATGTGTTGAGGGGTTGTGAGAATGAATCGTAGGGATAGAGTGAGGGATCCATGTCTTCTTTCCATTCCAGGTACCACCCAGCCGGCCTTTTCAACCAGCCATCAGAGCTTGAAGTTTAAAGGGGCCAAAATTGATGGCGTAAGGTTCTTTAGGGATGGGAAGAGACAGGTGCTCTGGTGGTGTGAGCGTGGCATGTCTGATGCTTCCCGCATGACCTTGGCCAAGCAACAGGTGTTTCGAAACGTTGGTCACTTGATGGGAAGTCCTCTTCCTAATCTTCATTCCATCGGGATATCTGGACTTATCTTTTTTGATCATCGGGTTCTGGTGCCAGGATTGGGACCATGCTTTCAAGCCCTTTCAGCGCTATAGTCTTAAGGCTGCATGCATGGTCCGTTATCTCAAGGAAATACTTGCTATTCATGTTCTGTGTTCGACATCAATCCCTGAAGAACCTGTGATAGGTCGATACAAAGTCAAAGGGGTTATGATTATCTGGGGCACATGATTCTGCTGCTTCCTGGACTAGGTGGACCTTTCTTGAGAAGAGGGAGTTCTCCCTCAGGCTGTTCTTGTTCGACGTATGGCTTCTCGCCATCCCAAGACTTTAGGGATCCGAATTCGACAGACACACAGCTCTTCTCATAGTGCGCCGACACCCTAAACCCTCCATCCCTAAAGCCCTCCGAGCCCTCAATCCTAAATCACTTAATCCTGCAATCCTGAATTCCTAGCAGCTCTAGCTCTCTCACGCCAGGTCAAGAACTACGTCTTTGTGGCTGCTTTAGATCCAGTCCTCCACATGGGAGCAGTGGATGCCAGCTTCCAAGGGTTTTGAATGCAGAGCTGGGTGTTGAGAGTCTAGGTCCAGGGTTCAGGGCTTGTGGCTCACAGTTGAAGTCTAAGCTTTTAGGCTTTGCGCTTCAGAGTCAAGGCTCAGGGCTTAGGGTTGCTTTAGTCTGGAGTGAGCAGTTTCGCGGTTGTCTGTTCGGGCTTCGGGTGGATCAAGCTCAAGGGCTCAGCCACGAAGGGAGCCCCGCAAAGGATTCTTCTAAACGGACGCTAGTCTCTGTATGGCCCTGTTCTAGGTTTTCTGCGTGCATAGAGTCTTAATGTATCTTAATTCGGAATTTGAGTGGGAGGTCCTGCTTGTGCGCAGGGGGACGGCGCGGTGTAGACCCTTAAAAGAGGGTGTTGCGGAGGAAGCCAGACATGGGCGCGCCAACTTATATCCCCAGAAGTGTAATTTCTTAGCCAGCCTAGTTCATGTCAAGAGTCCTGGTGAAAGGCCGTAATTTTCGGAGCTTACTTTGGCTTCATGTACGGCACTGCACGGGATCCAACTTGTAGGGAGCATGCTCCCCTGAATACTGGATTCGTGTTGATGTTTTTCTGCGGCTGCCCGGTCAAGATGCCGCATCTTCAGCATGGAGGACTGTTCTCTCTGGGCAGCAGACCTGACGCAATCGGCCAGCATGCCAGTGAGAGCGTGGTGGACCTGGAAGTCGAGGTGAAGCACTTCTAATGCGATGAGCAGGTTTCTAGCGCTGTGCATGTGCAAAGGACCTGGCCCACGGGACAGCATTGCCGGGTACGAGGGAATCTTTTCTGCAAGGGCAAGGTTCAAGACTTGCCCGGCAACAGGCGCTGCAGGTAAATTCAACTTCATCACTGCGACCCCAGCCCCAAGCCACGTGACCATGTTGGGGCGGGGATGCGCCATAATTATGATCCCAGATGTCAGGGACCCTACTGTATCGGAAGGGTGAAGAGGACCCAACTGGGTCCAACTTTACGATTTTTGATTCAGAAGTCAGCGCTGGCTACTCGAGACCATGAAGCCTCCCACACTTGGGACCATGAAATAGAGGAATCTCAAGTCCATAAAGTAGCGGAATTAAAAGCCTACACATGCATATCCAAGCTCATTCAGCCCACCCCAAAACCCTTTGCTTAAACCTAAACCCAAAGTGCAAGGGGCGTGTCTGCTGCACGCAGGTCATTCGCAGATTCTGGCTTTGCCGTCCACAGTCTATAGCATTGAGGCAAGAGCTGGCTCAAGTGCAGATCCTTGGGCCGTACATCAGATGACAACGCCCCCCTATCTCAAACTTGTAGCCCGAAACCTGAAAATCACATAGTAGGCTTTAGGTGCACTCAAGATGAAAGCTGCTAGAGGAAGAGCTTATGGATTCGCAAGGCCCCCCAAAAGTACTTGCTGGTTTGGGCCGCATGTGCGAATGCAAAATCATGTGTGCATATTTCCATAGACCTCAGGTCATGAAACATGCAACTTGGTCCCGAGCTTCAAAACCTTGAGCTGTTGGCTGTTTTTTGCACTCTAGCTTGTCAACAGCATTTTTTCTGCTGGTATAATGACATCAGATCTTTAAAGCAGTGCCTAGCGTGCCAGTCTTGTTCAATTCGGGGTCCGTGCTACATGAGAAAACATGCACATAGATGAGCCGCTGACTAATCTAAACCCTCTCTCACAGAAAGCTTGGGGCCCGGATTAAAGCCAGAGCAGCCCACCAAGATTACACAGATGCATGACCCAAATTGCTGAGAGTGGGATTCATGTAATCCAAAACTACATAAGATAAACGTGTATATATACATAATATCCCTAGCATCCCCAAATTACTTCTGACTTCGAGAGATTCCTTAGTCCCTAAGCTTCCCGCATCTGCACAAATCTTCTGCGACAGCTCTGGCCCAAAGAGTTTGCTGGAGCCAAGATCCTAGCTTGTAGTGGACCTCTGCGCTCGAAGCCATGCAGGTGGCGAGAATTTTGCCACCTGCCTTTACCAGATGCCTGAACCCTCCCCACTCAGTATTCGTTGCCATACTGAGTATTTTGTAGAGGTCAGGGCGCAATGGTCAAGGTTTAGGGTTGGGGTTCTGGGTTTAGGCCTGCGGACTTGCGGCGTCATGTAGAAATTTCCTTGTTTGGGACAGCGCTTTGAATATCTAGTGGAGCGTTTGTTTGCTTTAAACGGCTTTTGCTAAATTATCGTTTGGGTACCCAGTTTGAGAAGCTCCAGGATATCTGAGGCATAGTTGGGCACATGGGTCAACAAACTTTCCAGGGCCCTACCATAGACACATGGGAGGAGTACAAAGCATGGAGGGGTTATCAGGTTATCATACAAGAGTTGTTAGATGCGAAATTCGGCTCCTGAGAGAACTACTAGAAAAGATCATGTGCTTCTAGATTTGTTGGTCTTGGTAACGCCAAGAATTCCTAGTTGATCGCCTGCACGGCGGTGCTGGAAGGGAAAACCTCGTACTGAGATGTTGTATTGGGATGATGAAGGGGTGAGAGGATTCTGTTGTATGTGCATCATTCTGAGAATCTTCTACCCCGAGGCCAAAGGGAAGCCCCAAACCCCGAGACCTGCTTCCCATCCCGCTTTTCATATTTTCCGCGTAACCCTTGCAAGAGCCCTTTTTAAGAAGCCCCAGGTTGGCATGCTTGCCCCTGGGGCTGGCTAGCGACATCGCCAGCCTGAACATGCAGCTGGAGCTTTGGCAGCGAGGGCTTTCTGCATAGAGGGTAAGATACGGATACGTATATGTTGGGGTTCAGGGCTTTAAGGTTTAGACTTTACTTTCGCCTTCTAAAGCTGTTTCTCCCAATTTGGAGGTCCTTTTTCCTAGAGATCTTTACTGCAGGGACTGGGACCTGTATTCTTTAGCATTCAAGAGGACCTTAGCCGACGCTCAGGCTTTCAAGGACGTGGCAGGTCACTGTCACAGGTCATGCCTGGGAAAGTTCCCGACCAGCTCACCACTGGGCACAAGCCTGGCCTTCGGCTGTAAGTTACCGCACCATTTCCAAAGCGCGTGCTTCCGCAATTCTTCAAATGGACCGTTTTACCTGAACACACGTGCTCCAACCCTTGATGCCAGCCTACCAAACTCTAAATGAAGGAGCACATAACTCTAATCCTCACAGCTCTATGCACATACCCCTCGCCCAGCGCATGCAAGACATGCTATCCCCAAGTTCCTTGCGCAGTTCTAGCTCATTCGCTCATGCTCCACCCCAAGCCTAACCCGTCATGGGCTGAGCCAGCACTGGCTCTAGGAGGCGCTGCGCGCGGAGGCCAGGAATGTCTCGTATCACTAGGGCAACTATTCCGACACCCAAACGCTCCGTACAAGTGCACGGAGAACGAACTTGGAATCTCTTTGCGGGACTTGGCTCTCCATGCGGATACTGATTGATTTTTTGTTTCTGCACGTCAAAGCTATAGGATTGTGGCTGGAGCATTGGGTTGGTAGCTCCAGGGCCAGGGATCTGGGATTTGGGATCCATAGGATGTCGGGACTGGGGTTATCGGCTGCGGAATTTGGCATCAGGCTTTCTGCTTTTGTTCTGGTGGATTGCCGCAGCTGCACAGCAATCCCTTCAAGTCTTCCTTTGTTCCAGTATAGAAGGCATTGGCAAGTTGCTTGTGCCGGTCATTCTTTCTGCTAGGATGTTTCAACGACAGGCTTTAAGTGCCCTGGAGACCCCAAATTTAGACAATTTATCCTTTTTAGTTGCATCTGCCCCATGCCTGCTTTGCAGCCCCAAACGCAAACTCTCCTTTACCGACCTCTATGCGTCAACTGTTTCCTGCGATCTGAGACAGTTTCCCTCCACAGAAGCTACTAAATCCTGCAGGTGCAGTACCAGAAGGATCTGATTGCGAAGCAGCAGGAGAAGATGGAGTCGTATGCGGAGCTGCTTAGCGCTTCATATTCGGCGGTGTATGATTGATACTGTTCAAGGTGTCGGATTCGGACTTATGTTTCAGTTTAGGTTGAAAGCTCAGGCTTTACGGTCCAGAGTCAGTATTCCAAGGCTCATCAGGAGAAGCAAGGATCCAGATGGGTTTGAGGGTGAGAGGGGGGAACATTAGTGATTTTAAGGAAGGCCTTGGGATGCACTTTGCTTTCGCAAACGTAGGGGTCCTTCTGAAACGATGCTACTGGCAGATCTTCGTTTTTTTTCGAACAGCAACTCCTTAATCTCCTTACATAGAGGGTTCTCAAAAAAATTGTGGATCCGTCGTCGTGGGTCCTTAGGAAGCCAAACTTAAGGGGATCCTGACTTTCAAAGGTTCTGAAAATGAGTTTCTTTCCATGCAGAGTTCCGGAATGTGTGGCTAGACTGCATGGGATCCTTCGTCACTTTATGGTTCGTATCTCTTCTTGGGCTGCAGCGTCCGCGACAGATTCTGTCTAATGAGAACCGGAAGGCGACAGAACAGAAACATGAGCAAACAGGATTGGTATATGGAAAATGCAGGGTCTTCGAGATCATTGTTCCAGGCTCTCTTACAAATACCAGCTCAGGATTATTGAGTAGACGCGCTCTTCCGTCTCGGAAAGGGCTTCGTAGGCCTTTTGTTAACGCACCTTAAAGGAGTAGACGTGCACTGTGGCCTCCTGCTTGCAGATAGTGACTTCTCGAAACTATTTTCAGCCCAGCTATGCGGTGTGAACTAGTAACAGCTTAACGCTGCAGCCGAGTGTACGGCATTCTCGTATGTGTGCATTAGTGGGGTAGCTGCTGGCACTTAGACTGTACTGTAGGAACCAGATATTAAAGACCTCTGCTGACAGCTGCTGAGATCCCGACGGCTCCAGACGGCCAATGTCACCTACGTGACCCAAGCCACCTACGATGCTGAGGTGGGGATAGAACGAAGCGGAAAGGACAACGAAGATGTGGTGTCTTCTGAGGTCTGATGAGGGACAGGGCATATCCTGAGCATTCATATCATGCATTGCAGGTGTCAGTTCAAGGCTGCAATTGCTTCAGAATTTGCAAAGGCTGCCACTCATGTGCAATGGAAGTTCTCTGTCACTGTGGGCTGCTGGAACCCCCCCTTTCAACAGCTTAATTTGTCCACCCTTGCCCTTGCTTGCACTTTGGGGCGGATGGGTGGGGGTTCTTGGTTGCACCATCGCTGCCTGTGAGTTTCCAAAGTAGCGAGTACCCTTTCATGCGGTATTTACATGTAGGACTAAGCAAAATTAGTTAAAGATTTCCATTACCGGCAGTAGTGGTTTACCCAAAATCAAGGTCCGATTCTGTAATCCATCTGTATTCAGGATATTCTCGTACCGTCGCCACACGCAGACCCCAGCTTCTTTTTGGCAGTGCATGTCATCGCAGGCTATGCATGCGACTAATGATTGATGATGACTTCCATGCTCAAGTGCCCCTCTTCAGCTGTCCTCCTTCTGTCTGGTATGCTTCAGGCTTGGAAGCTATTGTGAGAAGAACTGGCTGCCGTCAGAGTGAAGCAGCTAGGAGCTGTGAGTGGCTTGAAGCTGAGTTTGCGCAGGCTGTACGGCTATCCTCTCTCTGCGCCCGTGCGCTATCGGAGTTGCTCTCTGGCCGAGTGTTTCTGCATACTGGTGATCGGTTGGAATATTTCGCCAGGCTGAACTCACACGTTGACATACACCTTCTGTTGCTGTCTCTGTCAAAAGGAAGTGCAGCAGAATCGCCGGCTAGTGCTGACAAGAACGGCAAGATGCTGAAGAGAACCCTGCTCTGATCATTGCTGCTCGGGGCCGATCACGAGGAGATAGCGGGCGAAGGAACAGACCTCATGGAGGCAGCAGAAAATGGATATGTGTAAGTGGGACAAAGGTGAAGGACCTCAAAAACCACGGCCACTTGTATGGCTTCGCAAACAAGGCAATCTGACTGGCTTTAAAACCGTAGGGCTTGCTACTGTGGTGTCAGGCGCGCGTGGGTTTCATGGGGCTCAAGCAGGTCGAAGCTGTCCGTTTACATGAACGCAGTTACTGTAAGGGGGAATGATCCCACCCATCCCCCGAAGAAGTTTCACTTGCTTGTCGCATCTTCTGCATTACATGAACGAGCGGGGCGACTTCGTGAGCGGCAGGCTTCCACTGAGCACCACCTTCAGATCCTACAGCGGCCATTTAAGGCAGACATCGTGGAAGCTCTGGTGCCATGGGCGTTGCAATACCAGTCCGATGCGCTGCGGTACAGACAAACTGAATGACATGCAGT